AAACAAGCCCTTTGCAGTTTCAGGTGAAGTTGTACTGTTAGTAACTCTCAAAGTTTTGCCTTGTCCTAGCCCTATCCCAGCAGTTTTCTATAGATGCACACTAGGTATGTATAAACTGTGCCTTATTTCTTCTACTGCTACTACCACTATCATTACCTGGGTGCTAAGCATTCTTTACTTTTTTCCATACCCCTTGAAATCTTCAGAGGAGAGGGTGTCAGTCCACATTTCCAGTCAGTTTAAGGCCAACAACCCAAAAAACTAAATTCTATTTCTGCTTTTTCATATCCTAACTTAACCACCCAAGGGTCAGAATTGGTATTCAAACCATCTCTGCCCTCTGCTGCAGGAGCACCATTGCTGTTCATTCCTCCCACAATCTTTAGCTCCAAAGTACTCAACAACCCAGTCCTTGGTTTAATCTAGTTTATTTCAGTTTCATCTCTGTGGAGCTCCTGAAGACCGGAATTGTTTCAACCTGAATTTTTCACATAAACCTCAAGATATTGTTCTGTATATTAATATCTGAGAATCACCGTACTGATCAGAACGCTAGTTATTCTCACTGTGGGGAAAATGCATTATTCTGACTAATCCCATATTCTATGTAGCAGAATAAGCCAAGAAAAGATGGGATTTGGCTGTCTTCAGACACACTATCAGTTACGGCTTCAGGGGGCCTGAAACCAACTGGTGAATCACACCAGTATGAGACTGAAGGCAAAGTATAGCCTCGTAGTAAAGAGACAGGCTTCTGAGAGAGACCAGTATATAGATCCTGGCTGATATACTTTACATCTAAGTTACCCTGTCTAAACTTTAGTTTATTTTAAAATTAGGGAATAATATGGCCTCATAGAGTTGTTATGAAGGTTCCTTGGAATTTATTCAATATATATTTATTGAGCACCTACTATGTGCCAGGCACTTTTCTATGTGTTGTGAATATACCTATAAATAAAAGCTTCTACCCTCAAGGAGCATACATTCTAATGGGTATATGTATAAAAAATGCTTAGCCTTTAGCATGTAGGAATCATGCTCAATAAATACTTGTTACTAACAAATATTTAAGGATAAGGAGTATATTTGTTTTGCTTTGCCACTTTTTGGCTATAAAAGAAGTATAGGACATAATATTTGCCTATGTGGAGCTTAAATCTAGATGGTCAGTGAGATATATTTGTGTTCATTCTATAAATATTAACTCAGTGCTATAATGAACCAGTTACTGTGAAGCACAAAAAGGAATCCCATTTTTAAAAATTTCAACTTAGTTGGGAATATATGAGAAATCACAATTATAGCGTAATATAAAGTGCAAGAGAAGTAATAATCAAGTGCTATGAAGAACACTTAAGGAAAGTAATAATAAAGTACTATGAAGAATGGTAATTAGCAAGTGAATATCAGGAGAATACAAATACAGGAAAATAGTGTTATTGCCATTATATGCCAAGTACATGAGCATAAGATGGGCATACTTTTGGCAGGTGGAAATGGAGTATATGGCTACTTCAGTTGAGTGGGTTAAAAAATGCTGCTGCCAAGTAAACTAGCAGTATATGAATCTCAGCAGTGTTATCCTCTCTGTACACTAATTTTATGGTTTCTGTTTCTCATTGCAGCCCTGACTCTGGAACTTAAGTAATATTGACAATGATAACTGTTGGGTTTTTTGGTCAAAGAACAGGCTAGAGGGAGGAAGGGGAAAAGTATGTCATAAGCCAATGTGGTTGACTTCTGGGAACACTTTCTGCCCGAAGCATATCATAAGTATAGGGGAAGACATGACTAAAAATAAAAGAGTCTGAGCATAGAGGGCCTTGAATGCCATGCCAAGGCATTTGGACTTAATTTAGTAAGAATGGGGCATGACTGAATACTTTTTTTTTTTTTTTTAACAAATCCTCCCTCATGTTTATTTGTACAAATAGCACAGGAGGATCCCAGCCCCAAGCAGATGGCAGCGCCGGGGGGTCGCACCAGTCCTTCTGTCCTCACGTTGGCAGACAGAGATATCTACTCTGAAGCCTTTGTAGGGGCCTGGGCACCTTTGGGAGCCTGAGCTGGAACTGAAGCTGGAGCTGCAGCCTGGGCCTTGTTTTGATCCTTGGACTTGGCCTTGACTTTTGGCCGGCAGAGCCTGAGCCCCTTGGCAATGCGTGCACGAGCACGCTTCCCAAGCTTGGGGTGGGCAATGTAAGCAAGTCGATCAAGCTTGCGGCTGACACCCCCCTTTGGGATCTTGGGCTTAACCTCCTTGGGCTTTACGAGAGCCTTGATGGCCTCGGCACGTGCACTCATGGCCTTGGCATTGTTGACCTGCATCTTCTTTAGGCCCTTCTTGTGCTTCTTGGCAAAGCGCATGTTCCTCAGGAACTTGGGGTCCACCCCCTTAAGATATTCTTATCTTTGTGATCGGGGTTTCTTGATACCATTTCTCTGCCATTTTCGGGACTGGTTGTGTGTTGTTTGGTTCTTGGACTTGGCCATGTCTGCACCTAACCTGCGGTTCCCCGACTGAATACTTTTGAGCAGCAAAGTGATATGGTCAGAACTGTGTTTATTTGGTGAGTTCTGGAAGCATTTAAAACAGAACTACCATGCCACCCAACAATCCCATTACTGAGTTTATACCCAGAGAAGAATAAATCATTCTACCTAAAAGATATAGGCACTCATATGTTCACAATAGCAAAGACATGGAATCAACCTAGGTACCCAACAGCAGTGGATTGGATAAAGAAAATGTGTACCTATACACCATGGAATACAATGCAGCTATTAAAAAAAAGACCAAAATAGTTTCCTTTGCAGCAACATGGATGCAGCTGAAGGCCATTATCCTAAGTAAATTAACTCAGAAACAGAAAACCAAATACCACAGGTTCTCACTTACAAATGGGAGCTAAGCATTGGTTACACATGGTCATAAAGTTGGGCACAGTGGACCCTGGGAACCACTAGAGAGGAGAGAAAAGGAGGGGACAAGATCTGAAAAAGTACCTATTGGGTACTATGCTCACTCTCTGGGTAATTAGATCATTTTTACCCCAAACCTCAACATCACACAATATACCCATGTAACAAACCTGTACATATATCCCTTGAATCTAAAATAAGAGTCGAAATTATTTTTTTAAAAACTTGATCAGGTATGGTGGGTTATGCCTGTAATCCCAAGACTTTGGGAAGCTGAGGTGGGAGGATCTCTTGAGCCCAGGAGTTCGAGACAAGTCTGGGCAACACAGCAAGACCCTGTCTCTACAAAAAATTAAAAAATAAATTAGTTGGACATAGTGGTACATGTCTTTAGTCCCAGCTACTTGGGTACCTAACGTGGTAGGATCACTTGAGCACAGGAGGTTAAGGCTGCAGTGAGCTATAATCACACCACTGCACTCCAGCCACTCCCAAAGTACTGGGACAGGCGTGAGCCACTGCACCCAACCAATAATGTATATTTCAAAATTACTAAAATAGATTTTTAATATTCTTAACATATCAAAAAAAAAAAAAGACAAACTGGTGAGGTGATGGGTATGTTAATTGGCTTGATCAAATCTTTGTATAATGTATACATAGATCAGTCCGGGCATAGTAGTCCACACCTGTAATCCTAACACTATGGGAGGCCAAGGTGGGCAGATCACTTGAGGCCAGGAGTTTGAGACCAGCCTGGCCAATATGACAAAACCCCATCTCTGCCAAAGATACAAAAATTAGCCAGGCATGGTGGCATATTCCTAAAATCCCAGCTACTTGGGAGGCTAACACACAAAAATCATTTGGACCCAGAAGCCAGAGGTTGCAGTGAGTTGAGCTGAGATCGTGCCACTGCACTCCAGACTGGTCAACAGAGTGAGACTCTATCTCAAAAAAAAAAGTATACATAGATTAAAACATTACATCATACCCCATATATACATATAATTATTGTCAGTTAAAAATTTTTAAAAAACAACTTGTTATAGCACTCTGTCTATAAGAGAGTGAAAGAAAACGATTCCGTTTTTGTTTCACAGACATTTCCAGAGTGCTTGTCACATTATCAGCCCTATGCTATAGGTGATTCAGCTTTGGATTCAACTGTGGGCAAGGAATTAACAGACTACTAGTAGAGAAGGGTGTGTAAATAACTATATGTTTTCATTGGTTTTGTCAAGGTGAGACCAGTACGAAAACGTTTTGAGTATAAATTTATAAAATCATATCATCTGTATGCAACTCTACCTATGCTTTAGGGGACAGTTTTCTAGTTCTCTAGAACTTTAAAAAAATAGAATTTTTTTTGGCCTGTAATCCCAGTACTTTGGGAGACTGAGGCGGGAGGATCACTTGATCCAGGGTTTGAGACCAGCCTGGGCAACATGGCAAAACTCTGTCTCTACAAAAAATGTTTTAAAAATAGCTGGGCTGGTGGCACTCTCCTGTGGTGCCAGCTACTTGGGAGACTGAGGTGGGAGGATTGATTGAGCCTGGGAGGTGGAGACTGGAGTGAACCATGATTACGCTACTGCACTCCAGCAGCCTGGTGACAGAGTGAGACTCTGTATCAAACAAACAAAAAGAAATTTTCATGTCCTAAGAATGTATTTTTTATTTTAAAATAATGTGTGCATATTAAGGCACATTTGAACTTCATAGAAAAGCAAAAAGAAGAAACAAAATGTCACTCTCCTAGACGAAAAAATGCACTATTTGCATGTTGTATATTTCTTCTAGACTTTTTTCCCCTACAATGGTATTTGTAGATCTTAGAAGAGGCTATAACTGAGACTTAAGTGAACATGCAACTAGCATTATTAGATCTTTTAATTTAGGCTTTTTGAAAAATTAATTTTATGTATTTATTTTTTAGGACTATACAGCTGACAAAGCCCATATTAAAGCAGAATGACCCATCTCTATTTGATTATGCTCACAAAGTACTCCTCCAGCTGAATGTGTAGCATGTGAACTCAAGGGATTTATTTCACTGTCCCCATTCTTCATAGGTGCCCCTGACCCCACAGCTGGGGCCAGCATTGATGATGAGAACTGTTGGCATTTGGATGAAGAACAGGTGAAAGAACAAGTGAAGCTTTTTCTCTCCCAGGGGGGTTACTGTGGCTCTGGAAAGCAACTCAACTCAATGTTTGCCAAGGTAAGATATGAAAAGATATTTTTCTTTTGTTGTTAACAAAAGAAGCTTAAGATAGACTGGGCACACCACACTTCAGGCTTCAAGCATTATACCTAGCTCACTTGACATAGCTGCACTGAATACTTGAAATCTAGTAGGAGAGGCTGACCAGACCTGAGCAGGTTGCATCCAGGGAGTCCTACCACCTCAGCCTAGTAGTCCTGTTCCTTTTACTTCACTCTCTAAATGAGTTAGCATTGCTGGGGCATTTTAGCAAAAAAACCACCTCTGCTTTTAATCCAGTGCTGCCTGATGAAGCTTGAAGACTAGAGTTTCAACATTGGTCCTGAAGATACTTAGTATTTTAAACTAGGGGCTCTTATAGCAGGCTGTTTTTCTTTTTTTTCTTTCTTTTCTTTTTTCTTTAATACTTTCAGTGAGATATAATTCATATACCATACAATTCACCCATTTAAAGTGTTAAAGTTCAGTGGTTTTTAGTATATTCATAGTTATACACAGCCATCACCACAGTCAGCTTTAGAATATTTTCATCACCTCAAAAAGAAACCCCATACCCTTACCTATCCCTCCCTTGTCTTCCATGTCTCCCTCCCCAAGCCCTAAGAAACCACTAGTCTACTTTCTGTCTCTATATATTTCCCTATTCTTGACTTTCATATGAATGCAATCATTCATATAGTATGTAGTCTTTTATGGTTGGCTTCCTTCACTCAGTGTAATGTTTTTAATTCATTGGTGTCATAGCATGAATCAGTACTTCATTCCTTTTTATGTCTGAATAATAAATGTGGATTTATTGTTCAAAATGTGGATACCCTATATTTTGTTTACCCATTCATCTATTGTGAAAATTTGGGTTGTTTCTACCTTTTGGCTATTATGAATAGTACTGCTACAAACATTCTTGTATAAGGTTCTATGTGGACATATATTTTTTTTCTTTCTTGGAGTAGAATTGATGGGTCATATGGTAACTCTATGCTTAATCATTTGAGGAACTGCCAGTCTGTTTTCCAAGGTGGCTGTATCATTTTACATTCCCACCAATAGTATATGATGTGTCAATTTCTTTACACCCTATCCAACACTTGTTGTTATCTGACTTTTTAATTCTAGCTATCCTAGTGGGTGTGAAGTGGTATCTTGTGATACCACTTGTGAACATCAGGCTTTCTTGATACATGCAGAGATCTTGCTTACAGAACAAGAGGCCTTTCTGGCTCTTTTGGATATGGTGTACTCAGATACTTCACCTTCACTTCCCCCTCCTCCTCTTCCTTCTCCTACTTTTTTGTGATGCACAATCACCAATTCCTCGCCACTTCTTATGTGTCAGGTTCGAGAAATGCTGCGGATGAGAGATTCTAATGGAGCAAGGATGCTGACGCTAATAACTGAGCAGTTCATGGCTGACCCACGACTCACATTCTGGAGGCAACAAGGAACAAACATGACAGACAAGTGCAGGCAGCTCTGGGATGAGCTAGGTAAGTTCTCATCTGTCAGAGAAGTGCTTTGTCCTACCATCTTGCCCTGTGGCAACAAGTGTTCATGAACCCTTGCCATCAATCATTACATGGATCTTGCTATCTCTGCTACCAGTTCAGCTGGTAACACTGAACTCACTTTTGTTGCTTCCACAGCATTGTGCTTTGCTATTGTCATCAAGCATTCTGTTCCAGATGTTACTACATGGAAACCTTTGCTGAGAGAAAACCTCTTTACTTCGCTTCTGTTGCATGGCACTAGCCTGACTCTCCAAATACTTATCAGCCTCACTGTTGTTGGTTTCCCAGAGTCTGCTCTTCTGTATCACTTTCAGCCAGACCTTTACGACATAGGGCAATTTCCAATACCTGGACTTTGACCGTCTATTCTTCTTTCTCTATATTCCCTTGAGAACTTTTTTTTTAATATCATAGCTTCAGAGCTTACTTATATGGTCATTTCAGCTTCATCTTCTTTCTACTTATCTGAGTTCTAGACCCACATGAGTAGATGTCCATTGACCATTCCCACTGAGAAATCAAAAATGAACTCAGACTTTCTCCTACAAAAAAAATGTTCTTCCGACTGGCATTGGCACCACCGATCCTTACCCTAACAAACTTATTTCTGAGCACTCGTTTTTCTTTCATTCCCCACATTCAGTCACTAACTTTATTTGATTTCTCAACTTTTAAAATGCAATGTAGTGTCCATTCCCCCTTAAAACTTTTAGATTAGATTAAAACTGTGACCTTCTAATGGCCTCTCTGTTCTAGGTTCTCCCTCATCAAGGCAGTCCTCTTTGGTCATCATTTCTCTTTAGCATTCCCTTGCTCCAAGACCAGTTTTGCCATGCTAATACTTCTCGCCCTGCTTTCAGAATCTTCCATACCCTGAACTTAGGTTCACATACCAGTAAGTTGTGGCTGGAACACTGGAAGCCCAGTTGGTCTGACTTTAAATCAAACATCCCTCTATAACATCTCCCTCAGTTCTGTCTTAAGTCCTTCTATTTTTTCGAAGTGCATATTCCTTAAGAATTTGTAGTTAGCCTTCTTCAGAGAGTCAGTTTCATCTGAGGCCTGAATATCTTAATTTCTGAACCAGTCACAGGATTGTGCTGTGGACTTGGGTTTTGCCTCTGGGACAAAGGTAGTTGAAAGGAAGTAAGTAGAACTGGTTCCCAGTGCTTTTAAAGCTCTTGTTATATACTTGGGTTCATTATGAAAAGCTCTTGCTTCTGACCTTTTCCTATCTTAACAAATTACTATTTCAACCTTCAAAGAAACCTTCAGCATTCTGCTAAGACAATGATTCTGAAACCTTTTAGACTCACCTGGAGTGCTTGTTTAAACAGATCACTGGGCCCTATCCTGCGTTTCTGATTCAGTAGGTTTGGAGTGGGACCTAAGAATTTGCATTTCTCACAAATTCCCAGGGGATGCTGGTGCTGCTGATCCAGCACTTTGAGAACCACTGCACTTAGAGACGGCTTATTAGGTTAGATACCAGAACACAGTGCATTCATGCTTCTCCTATTTTAAGGGCTGCCTTAGTTATTCTTAGGGCTCTTTACTGATCACAAGGCCTATGCATCTATGGAAAACCTAGGCAGGGTTTATAGGAACTACAAATGTAGAAAGAAATGGCTTACTACTTTCAGTTTCTGAACTAGAGAAAATGGGAGCAATCAGACATGAAGTTTCATCATCTCCCCACCTACAAATATGCTAATGCTTTCTATGTCTATTCCCGTATGGTTTGCCTTCTCCTCTGTTAAAATCCATAGAGTATCATGAAAGGCCAACCCTTACATGTTTGCTATGGGTTCCATTCTATCTCCTTTTCTCAAGAATGTTGCTCCTACAATTATTTCTTTGCTTGGGTATTATTAACTTTTTTCTCTCTACAAAATCATTCCCATCAGCATACAAATATGCTCTAATATCTTTTTTTTTTTTTTTTAGACAGAATCTCACTCTGTCATCCAGGGTGGAGTGCAGTGGCACAACCTTGGCTCACTGCAACCTCTGCCTCCTGGGTTCAAGCAATTCTTCTGCCTCAGCCCTCCGAGTAGCTAGGACTATAGGCATGTGCCCCCATGCCTGGCTAATATTTGTGTTTTTCGTAGAGACAGGGTTTCACCATGTTGGCCAGGCTGGTCTCAAACTTCTGACCTCAGGTGATCCACCCACCTTGGCCTCCCAAAGTGCTGGGATTACAGGCATGAGCCACCATACCTGGCCTGCTCAAATTTTTAAAAATACTCCTTTGATGCTCCAACTTTCTCTACCAACTATTACCCCGCTTCTCTTCTCCCCTTTGAAACAACATTTCTTTAAAAATAAATTATCTGTGGCCACCCTTTCCATTTGCTCTCCTCCATTCTTCCTTCAGCCCACTTCTGTTGGGTTTCCATTGCTCATTGCTGCTGGTCTCCTGAAGTAGCTCTTGTCGAAATCCCAAGTAACTTGCATACTACTAAATACAACAGTCACTTCTCTGTTCTCATCTTATGTCAAAACTCTTAGTAGTTTTCAGTAAAGTTGACCATACTCTTTTATTTTTCCTTCCTTTTGTAGTGACAGGGTCTTGCTCTGTGTCCAGGCTGGTCTTGAACTCCTAGCCTCAAGCAATTCTAGCTCCTCCTCCCAAAGTGCTGGAATTACAGGCACAAGCCACAAGCCCATACTCTTTTGGTTTCCATAACTGCATACCCATTTGGTTTCTCTACTGTGGTCCTGGTGACTTTCACTCAGTCTCCTTTGTAGACTTCTCTGCCTTTCCTCAACGCTTCTAAATATTGAATGCCTCCCAGCATCCACTTTCCTGTTTATATTCCTTACCTAAATGATTATATATTCACTAACATGGCTTTAAATACTATCCAGATGCAGGTAAATTACAAATGTATGTCTCTAGCCTTGATCTTTCTTCTGAGCTCCAGGCTGCGTCCAGCTGCCCGTTACTTCTAAGAAACATCTCAAACTTAATAAGGCCATCACAGAACTCTTAATTTTCCTGCCAAAGCCTTATCTTCCCCTTGTTGTCACCATCTCAATATACATCATCAAGATGTATTATCTTGTTGCTGGATGGCCAAGCGTGGTGGCTCCCGCTGGTAATTCTAGCACTTTTGGAGGCCCAGGCAGGTGGATCACCTGAGGTCAGGAGTTTGAGACAAGCTTGCCAACATGGTGAAATGCTGTCTCTACTGAAAATACAAAAAATTAACTGGACATGATGGCAGCTTCCTGTAATCCCAACTACTTAGGAGACTGAGGCAGGAGAATCGCCTGAACCTGCGAGGCAGAGGTTGCAGTGAGCTGAGATCGCACCACTGCACTCCAGCCTGGCAACAGAGCGAGATGCCATTGTTGCTCAAGAAGAGAATTTAAGAGTTATCCTTGATTTCCTATTTTCTGTCTTTTACATCCAAATCAAGACCTGTTGACCCTCAGAGTTAGAGGGCTGAATGAGATAAAATGCTTAATACCTTAATGCCTAGCTGATGAAAGAAATCAATGATAGCTATTATTTTATTATATTTCATATATAATAATTATGTAAAATTTTAATTTCCATAGTAGCTACGTTTGCTTAGAGTTTTTGACATTTTTTAATTTCTTTTTTTTTTTTTTTTGAAACAGAGTCTCACTCTGTTGCCCAGTGTGGAGTGCAGGAGTACAATCTCAGCCCACTGCAACCTCTGCCTCCTGGATTCACGCATTTCTCCTGCTTCAGCCTCAGAGTAGCTGGGACTACAGGCATGTACCACCATGCCTAGCTAATTTTTCTAGTTTTGTAGAGACAGGATTTCGCCATGTTGGCCAGGCTGGTCTCAACCTCCTGACTTCAAGTGATCCACCTGCCTCGGCCTCCCAAAATGCTGGAACCACAGGCATGAGCCACCACACCTAGCCCTAATTTCTTTTTATTGATTTACTTTGAGACAGGATCTCACACTGTCCACTAGAGTGGAATACAGTGGTGTGATCATAACTCACTGCAACTCAAACTCCTGGGATCAAGAAATACATGCACTTCAGCCTCCCGAGTAACTAGGATTACAGGTACAGGGTACCACACTCGCCAATTCTAATTTTTGGTAAAGATAGGGTCTCACTGTGTTGTGCAGGCTGATCTCAAACTCCTGGCCTTGTGATCCTCCTGCCTCAGCATCCCCAAGCACTGGTATTACAAGCATGAGACACTCTACCCAGCCAACGCTTTTTTTTTTTGAGACAGAGTTTCGCTCTTGTTACCCAGGCTGGAGTGCAATGGTGCGATCTCGGCTCACCGCAACCTCCGCCTCCTGGGTTCAAGCAATTCTCCTGCCTCAGCCTCCCAAGTAGCTGGGACTACAGGCACTCGCCACTATGCCCAGCTAATTTTTGTATTTTTAGTAGAGACGGGGTTTCACCATGTTGACCAGGATGGTCTCGATCTCTTGACCTCGTGATCCACTTTTTTTTTAAGTTGCAGGAAAATATGTTTCTGGGTACTGATAACAGTCCTGTGAGTGCTGTTTTATACAGGCAACTAGCAGGACTTTTTGTTCTGTCTCTTTCTCAGAGATGTAATTATCTTTGAGTGTTTTCGAAACAAATTTATAAGGACATAATTAATAAGACAGAAAACTCATGTTTAACTTACAGGTGAAAGTACTTGTGCTCACTTTCTAGGGATCCCCTTCTTTGTGTGTGTGTGTGTGTGTGTGTGTGTGTGTGTGTGTGTGTGAGAAAGAGCGAGAGAGAGATGGAGTCTCACTCTGTCGCCTAGGCTGGAGTACAATAGCGCAATCTTGGCTCACTGCAACCTTGCCTCCCAGACTCAACAAATTCTCTTGCCTCGGCCTCCTGAGTAACTGGAATTACAGGCACACGCTACAACGCCTGGCTAATTTTTTGTATTTTTAGTAGAGATGGAGTTTCACCGTGTTAAGCCAGGCTAGTCTCAAACTCCCGACCTCAAGTGGTCCACCCACCTCAGTCTCCTAGAGTGCTGGGATTACAGGCATAAGCCACTGTGCCTGGCCAGTATCCCCTTCTTAGTATCAAAATGCCTAGAAAATAGGAACTCCTCCATGACTAGAATTGGCACCCTGTTTTTTGTTGTTGTTGTTGTCGTTTTGCCTCTTAAGCCTTTCTCATCTCACCCAATCTCTTTTCCATTCCTATTATCCTGTTGATTTTACCATTCCTAAGGTCACCAATGTTCTTCTCATTGCCAGATTTAGTAGCTTCTTTTTTGGTCCTCTTTTTTACCTGTGAAGATTAAATATGAAAATCTGTTTCTCTTTTTTTTTTTTTTTGAGACGGAGTTTCGCTCTTGTTACCCAGGCTGG